GGAGCTGGGAAAGGTTAAGGAAAGAACTTGCAAGTTGAAGCCGGTGGAGCGGAGACCGAGACTTCGGGTACCGCTTCGTGATCGTTTCTCATTGGATGAGGCCAGGCGCAGCTTAATCTTGGCCAACGCTGATGCCGAAGTGGTCGGATTCGTGTCTCGTGTTCCACCTCACGCACACGCCATTCCTCGAAGTTGCACCGCCAAGTACGAGAAAACAAACCGTAGAAACATCACCTCTGAGACGGATTTGTAGAAACGTCAAGTACTTGAACTACTCGTAAGAGAGCAGTGACCCTACAAGACACGTGACAGGTACGTGAGCGAGTACGAACGAACGGGTACGTGGAAGTTATTTTTGGCGACGGTGGATCTGCCGTCGGTGAATTATGCCCCGATATTTATAATCCAAGTCCGAGCCGCTTTCGGACTCCGGATAAGCATGACGCTTTTCCCGTTTTTATATTTTAGTGTAGCTTTCCTTCTTGTTTACTTTCCATCCCCGACCGACGCAATTCCGACTCAATTAACAAGATCTGTATCCGTTCTTGTTTTCTCTATCTAAACTCTGTCACGGACCCATCAATCTCTCCGGATTCTTCTCCCCACGTTTCTTCCCCACCCCTTTCCGTCTCTCTTCTTCGTCGTTTTCTCTTGTTCTATTTGTTTCTCGAGGTCGAGACTCGGAATTGACGACGACGGCGACTCCCCGGACCGCAGAATCAGGGTTTGGGTCTTCTCTCCCGCCGCCGATGGCCGTCGCTCCGGGGAATTCGTCCGATAACCTCGGCGACAACGACGCCCTTCTACTTGACGACAATCTTTCGATCAGCGTCGAGGGCCTCTACGCCTTCCTCGATGAGCAGCCTTTCGACCCGGTCGACGACCAGTCCCAGGTAAGTTTGCCTTCAGTTCGCTCTGAATTATGTTCTTTTGCGCATGCGATTATGACCCTGCCATTAGTTGTTGGTCTTTGTCTGTTTGCTGATGGATCTTGATGTTCTTGGTGTTCTTGATTGGGTATCAGCTGCGTCGTCTATTGTGTAGATGGAAAAAGGTAAGGGGAGTTTTCTGTGTGTTGTTGGCATAACAAAGGGCATCTAACTTGATAGCTAAAAGAATCGTTGTAGTAGTTGTGATTAGAGTTCTGCAGTTCTGTCTGGGACTCGTGGAATCATATGGTGATTAGTTGCTTCAAGTGGTCCTTTGTATCTGAAAGAAAGGACTGTTGGTGGTGGTCCTGCCTCGATCTCACTGTTGACTCCTGCCATGGCCAATCTGAGACATTTCTTTTTCTTTATGAACTTTTTTTTTTTTTTTTGCAACAGTTAGTTATTATTGATAAAGATCTGGGCTACTTTTTCAATTTTGATGTTGTACATATCAATAACTTATTCATGAGCTGTAAGCAATTGTCCATCATCATGTGGGTCAGTTTCTTCAGGGATTAGTTATACAGCTTTTGATAGAAGCTTTGGCCGTTAGCCCTTGGTGATTTTTTCTAAAGCTATGCGCTACAAACTCGAAAACTTAATGACTTATGCATGAGATTTATAGCCTAGAGGAACATCCTCTATTTTGCTTAATCATTGGTGAGCAAAAAACCTCTGGACGTTGGGTCCTTCTGAACATGTTAGTAAAGGGGATATTGTTCTTGACTTTGGTGAATCGGTGTCTTTTAGATGGTTTTAATAATGTTTCCATGAACTTAGTCTTTGAGGAACATTTTTGATAATTGATAATTATAACAAGACGTAGTTCAACCAATGAATACTGTTTCTAGTTTTATTCTATGAACATACATGCTAGAACTGTGAGAGACTAATGGATGGCATATGGTTTTCAGTATTTTACTATCTTAGTTGATCTTTTTGTACGTCTACTGTTGAAGGTGGAGGCAAAGAATAAGAATTAGGAAGATTTTAACAGTAACTTGGAAAGACCAACTCTTTTGGCGTGGAGCTGACCTACGTAATGAAGCAAATTGCAGTTGAACTTAGCTACAACTCTGTTTACTGATGCTAGATAGAACCTAGACTCAAATATGGAGCTAATTAGACTTTGTCTGGCCTGTTCAAGCTGAAACATACTACATTGAGTGGACAGTTTTTAAATACTAGCTGAGGATAGCCTTTACAGTTTACCGACCTAGTATGTACATATTTATTTTGGTGATTCATAATGATCTCATGTCTAAACCTTTCTTCAGCATTTAAATCAAATATAATCCATGTCGAGTATATGTGTTTAGTCTTTTGTTTATTTGGTAGTTGTTTGCATTCTATTTTGGTTAATGCTAATTTCGTGGAAGTGTAATAAGCAGATTACTTTTGAAGGTTCAGACCGAGGCAAGCAATCTGGTGGTCCAACAGATCCTGTTAATGCCTTTCAGCCTAATGCTGGTATTTGTGTTGTACTCTATTGTGTTATTATATTTTTGTGGAAACTAGTATTATGTGCTTAAGCTGTACCAGCTAAGTCTTAAGACAGTACATGCATGATAATTCCCTTTCTTCTCCTCTTATAATGTTATGTCTAGGGTTTTCGAAATCTTCAGCTCATGGAGAGTTCAATGAAACACTTGCTTCTCAATGGACAACATCAAATTTTCTGGGTGTATCAGATTGTAAAAAAGAAACAAATTTAGGATTTTCTTTTGGATCAGAACAAAGTTCCAACTCTCCCTTAATCCCAGTGAGTGGTCACACCAGTGCTGTCTCAGCACATGCTGATTCCAAAAGCATGTTTGCTTATCCTTTGAGTCGTTTTGGATTTTCAAATCAGGAATATGATTTTAGTTCAATGAATTTGGTTGGAAGTTCCCGTGATAGTTTGATAAGTAGCAACTTCAACAGTCAACAATTGCAGTATCTATCGAATTGTCCCTTTGGTAATGCTGAAGAAGCAGGTCTAGATGTCTCACATTATGTAGACTTCGGTTGTGATTTGTACTCGGACAGTGATCAAAAGGACTTTGATGAGTTGAGAGCTGGAATTTCACAGCAGAATAGGTTCAAAATGTATGAATCTTATGCAGATGGTATGTTATCATTCATGCACTGCAAGGTGGAACAACATTCCCAATCTAATTTTGCACATGTGAGGAACATTTACGCTGATAATATCTCTGCTTCTTGTTTTGCAGATTCATTAAATACTATGACAAGAGAAGAAAAGACTGGTTTAACTGATTGCAAGCTCTATGATGACAGAAATGCTGCTCTGAAAAATTCTCTGGAGGAAAAATGTCTATATACTAATTCATCTATGGATGTTGATTCAACTTTTCTAAAGTCCATTATTTCTAAGTTGAATGCTACTGAGGCAACAAATATGGTGTACAATGCTCATGGCAATTGCTGTGTGCCATATAGAGAGTCTCCTACTGATGGTGTCTTAAGAGGTTTAAGAAACACAGTACAAGGTCAGTTCCCTCATTTAATTGTGTCACATCAGAAGGACGTAATAAAACAAATATACAATGAAAATGAGGATCATCTATATCCATTCCAGAGTTCAACTAGAAGCAGTGCAGTGGAGTTGGACAAAGCATTGGCATCAGTTGGGTCCTTGATTCAAATGGCAGATACTGATGAACCACTGCCAGACATATGTGTGGAGCAGAATTATCTAGATGATGTTAGTCTTAAGAGTGAATCTAGTATAGATTCCTCTCCACTACCATCTACTAGAAATTCTATCTTTGATAATATACCTGCCATTGATGCATCATTAAAATGGTTCCCTCATTCTTATCCAAATCTACACAATAAGCGGCAAAAGACTTCAACAAATACTGGAAGAGAAGAACTGGTGCAAGAATTTCATTACATACAACACAATAGTCTCAAGCATAGTGATGATGATGTTCTTAATGTGAGTTCTACGGTAAGCTGCATAAGTGTGGATGATGATGATGCTGACATATGTATTCTTGATGATGTCAGCAACTTTGCCCACCCACTTGCACCAACAGTGATTATAAAAAATCAGACAATGTTAGAGCAATCTGGATATATTCAGACATATCAGCCTAGGTTGGGAGGGACAAGGCTCAAGGCAGATGATGAGAGATTAACTCTTTGGCTAGAATTGCAGGTTCTAGTTGCCTCTCCTTTGCTGATAATTAATTTATAAGTTCCTCTCTTAATAGTATTTGACACATATATTTAGATTTATTTCCTTTCTTGAACTAACCAAAAATTTAATTTGAGACAATGAATTTCATGTTAATATTAAATATTTGGTGCTTGACGATTGCTCGAGTGATAGACTCAGTTTAAGGGTATGATGCTATTACTATTAAAAATGAAGTTTTTTTAGTCTTTTATCGTTCTCTTAGTAATTGTTGCTTCATGATTTTCTTCTTGCTTAATTGCTTTTTTTTAATGATGGAGGGCAACATTGTCCAAATGTGATTTATAATTTGTATACCATTGCTTCAAATATTGCTGGCTTTTTCTCGTTAACAAGTGTGTGTTACAACTCTGTAGGATTTTTTTGATATTTATTTAATGTGGAGACAGATAAAGCAATTGATGAAACAAAAAGAGATGGAAAACAATTTAGTTCTAAATTTTTAGAAGTTAGTTGAAACAAACATTTTTTGTTTGTTTCAACAAACTTTTAAAAATTTTGAACTAAACCACTATTTTCCATTTCTTTTTGTTTTATCAATGGGGGGCTATGAGGTTGCCTGGAAGCGACTTATCATATCGGTGCTCAGATGGGGTGCCAAGTAGGCAAGGATTCTCTTATTGTCTTGGGCCAATGGGAGTAAAGAAGTTAGTCCAATAATAGAGGGTTGGATTAGCAACTTGGAATATAAGAACATTTTTAGGGAAAGGATTAGGATTGGTGGACACTATAATAAGAAGAAGAATAAATATTATTTGCTTATAAGAGACTAAGTGGGTAAGGAAAAAATCTACAGAGATTGATAATACTAGATTTAAATTTTGGTATACTGGAAAAGTTAAACACAAAAATGATGTAGGAATTGTTGTTGATAAGGATCTTAAGAATAATATTGTAGATGTAAAAGGAGTTTCAGATAGAATTATAGTTCTAAAATTTGTGGAAGGATAAGATATTTTGAATGTTATTAGTTCTTTTGCCTTCAAGTCGGAATGGATAATCAAACAAAAAGAGAATTTTAGGAAAACTTAAATGATATTACTCAAGGAATGGCTATAATCGAAGAACTTAAAAATGGAGGAGATTTGAATAGTCATGTAGGGAAAACATATAAGGAATATAAAGGGGTGCATGGGGGTTTGGTTACGGGGAGAAAAATGAAGATAGTGGTATGATTTTGGATTTTACAACTTCGTATGATCGTATAATTGTAAATACTCACTTTAAGATGAGAGATAACTTTTAATTACTTATAAGAGTAGTCATAGTTGTAGTCAAGTAGACATTTTTCTTATTAAAAAAGTTGATAAAGTTATTTATAAGAAATTGTAAAGTTATACCTAGCGAAGGTTTGTCGAATCAATATAGATTGATGGCGTTAGATATTTACTATAGAAAATGGAGGAAGAAAAATATAGTAGTAAAAATTACTAGGACTAGATGGTGGAATTTTAAAGATGATAATGCAAACACTTTTAAGAATAAGATGGAAATGGAGGTGACTTGGAACATAGGTGGGATAATATTAATATTATTTGGACTATGATAACAAATAAGACTAGGAGCTTAACAGAGGACATTCTTAGTGAAATTAAAGGTAAAGATGTAACCTTAAGAGAGAGCTAGTGGTGGTGTGAAGAAGTTCAAAAAAATATTTTTTACTAATCATGTTTTAGCAATTGACATAATTATAAAAAATATAAAATAATTAAAAGATATAAAGAATCTAAAAAAGAGACTAACATAGCGGTTAGTATGACAAGATATAAAGCTTATTATAATTTTTATAATAAATTAGGTACCAAAGATAGTGAAGAAGATATGTATCGAATTGGTGAAACTAAAGGTAGAGGTGTAACCTTAAGAGAGAGCTAGTGGTGGTGTGAGGAAGTTTAAAAAATAATTTTTACTGAAAGATCATGTTTTAATGATTGACACAATTATAAAAATTTAAAAAAATTTAAAAGATATAAAGAATATAAAAAAGAGACTAAAATAGCAGTTAGTATAGCAAGATATAAAGCTTATGATAATTTTTATAATAAATTATATACCAAATATGGTGAAAAAGATATATATCAAATTGCTAAGGTTAGGGAAAGAAAGTGTAAGGATTTAGGTAATATTAGATATCTTAAAGACCAAGATCAAAGAATATTTGTTATTGATAGCGAGATTAAGAAAATATAAAAAAATTATTTTTATAAATTATCTTATAAATATCTCACGTAGGACTTAGATTTAATGTTAAATAATAGTGGTAGATTTAATAATCATAGATTTATTTATAAAATTGGAGCTAATGAAATAAAAGACAATAAAGAAGATGAAAATAGCTAAGAGTGTGGAGACTGATGACATCCCTATTGAGGTCTAGTTTAGGGGATGGAGAAAGAATTTTTTAATACTAATTTACAAAAGTAAGGGTGATATACAAAATTATTCTAATTGTAGAGGAATTAAAATCATGAGTCATACTATGAAAATTTGGGAAAGAGTTATCAAAAGTAGGATAAAACTTGAAACAAATAACTCTGAAAATCAATTTGGTTTTATGCTTGAAAGATTAATTATAGAAGCTATTTATTTATTAAAACAATTAATGAAAAAGTATAAGACGAAAAGAAAATATTTACATATCGTTTTTATTGACTTAGAGAAAGCCTATGATAGGGTTATTAGAGATTTATTATTGTAGATTTTAGAAAAAAAAGGTATATCCACTAGTTATGTTAATGTTATTAAAGATATGTATGATAATGTAATTTTTAGTATTAGAACTATAAGGGAAGGTCTGCAATTTCGTACCCGTACCGGAGTTTCGATATTCGTTCGTTACGGTATGAAATTATATACCGAGCGATATACCATTCGGTATACCGTTTGGTGTATATATATATA